GTGTTATTTGAGGAAGTTCACGGGAGAAGTTCCCGACATAATTCCACTTTCAGAGTTGAGGATCGATGAGAACAAAAGGTTGATTGAGGAACCGGAGGCAATTGTTGACCGAAAGACTAAGAAATTGCGACGTAAGATGGTGGAGTTAGTGCTTGTCCGATGGAAACACACGAATGGGCCAAATCTCACCTGGGAGACGGAGAGTGACATGATGAGTCGCTATCCGCATTTGTTTGCTGGTGTGTGATTCCGGGGACGGAATCATTCTAAGGTGGAGAGAATTGTAACGCCCGTGTTTCTAGGCTTGCCATTTTTAGCAATGTAATAGTCTAGGTTAACCTTGTAACTCAACTTGAAATAATAAGAATGTATTATTTGTGAATTATTTGAATTATGTGATTTATGTGTGTATTTTCTTAATTTTTATAATTTAATGAATTAAGAATAAAATAAGCGTCAAAATTTAAGTGTGAGATAAGCCCGATATCTTTGCATAAAGTTGTAGTGGTGAAACAAGGATTCCGGAGATATAAGGAATGCCAAAATCCGAGTTATAACGAAGAAGTTATGACCTGTCGAAGTTTCGCGACAGAACCGACACGACGCCGAGTGACGTAAAATATGAATTTAAGATAGAGCGATATTTAGCCTTAGCGATCTAAACGAAAGTCGTAGATTTCGTTAAACCGAGAGCGTGCATAAAAGGAACGCCCAAATCTGACTTCGTATGAGGAAGTTATGATTTTATGAAGTTTCGACTTAGCAGTATACAGCCCGAATACTCGATTTGAGATCGAGCGGTTTTTAGCCGAAACAATCTAAATGAGAATCGAAGATCTTGTTGTTAGTAGCGAAACGATGAAAAGTTAGGCGAGAACGGACGTCAGACGAAGAAGTTATGAATTTATAACGAAGTTTTTCTGTCCCGGCCTTCTAAAAATAAATAATAAAAATAAAAGTCAAAATTAGCCGACGGAGTCTAAATGAAAGTTGTAGAGTATGGTCTGACCTTCGCGTGGATATAAAGAACGTCGAAAACGGAGCTCGTATGCGAAAGTTACGCAATTTAGAAGTTTGACAAGTCAATTACGCCCCGCGTAATTTGAGTACGCCCCGCGTACTCAGTCGGATGCAACTTGTCTGACCAATACTCGAGTGCCACCAGTCGACGCACGCAGTGACGTCAAAGTACGCCCCGCGTAACCCGAGTACGCCCCGTGTAATTTGAGTACGCCCCGCGTAATCCCAGACCCAGCAGCCTATAAATAGAACTCGAATTCAGCCATTTTCTCTTGTTCAAACTCTTCCCTCTCTCTAAGTTTTGCCTCGATTTGCGTGCCGTTTATACCCCAAAGCCCCGGTAATATTCCCGAGCCCCGAAGTAAGATCCGAAGCCCCGAGGATCCCGAAGAGCGTTATTCCCGAGCCGAAACGCTGCCCGCGAGGAGCCCGGTTTTGTGAAGATCTTCCAGATCTACGGAGAAACACCTCTTCTGCAAGCCGTAGTGCTGCCCGATCATCTTCTGATCAAGTGAGTGTGTAGTTATTTTCATTCCAACGCAATATTATGAAGTATTTCCTATAAAATACGTGTTATGTGTATATATTTGGTTGTTATACGTGTGAGTGTATATTCACTCTCTTCTATCTTATAGATCTGATGTATTCTCTATGAAATACGTGTTATGTGTGTATGCCTCATCTGTTATGTGGAATATGTATTGCTTAAAGCATGTTATACAGGTTTTTAAACTATGTATAAAAACGTATATTTTTATCTACTAATATGTTGGGTAGAACATGGGTAGATAATTGGTGTGTAATAAACAGATGAGAGGCCTCGGTGTTATTGGTGTTATTCTAGTCATTCAGCAGAGTATGGATGACGACCACGGACTATTCTAGACTGTCCTGTGGAACACTAGCAGGCTCATTACCTGTAGGTGTTGTGAACGACGTGTTCACCGGTGTACTCTATCCCCCACATGGTTGCCTTTAGGACACTTATTGTTGAGGAAGCCCCTCTGCAGTGATGTCCGTCCCGATGAAAAATCCTGAAATAGGTTCCTTATAATAGACGTTATTTTTAGGAACGTAAGGTGAGGATAACGGGAATGGGTAATCGGGTTTATTGTTGATTGTTGAAATTAAATATAATTATTGTGGGTTGAAAACCCTATATGCTCACCAGGCTCCCAAGCCTGACCCACTCAGTTGATTTATTTTACAGGAAGTGGCGCAAGAGCTTAAGATGGGCGAACATCAAGTTGTTTTGTTTACAAGTCTGTATATGTATATATTTGTTGAATGACTTGTAATGCTATCGTTTATGCTTTATGATCTGTATCGGAACATGACATCCCGTCTTTTGATTACGAAATGAAATCATATTTCTTTATGAAATGTTTTGATAAATATCTATTTTATCATGTTTTGTTTTTGGGAATAAATTCCGCATCTCTTTTAAAATTACAAGGATTTACTCTGAAAATTATTTTAAAAAGCATAAATGAAATCGGTCTTTTCTGGCCGAGATTTTGGGGATGTCACAGACCAGGTGTTCCACAGTGAAAACAAGTCTTTTTCTTCACTGGGAAATTGGGTCTTCCTGCCCCTGGTGGTGTATCCTTGCCTTTTCTCTTGTTGTTCCCACATGCATACTTGCCACAAGGACTCTGTTGCGTTGGAATTGGTGGCGTGTATTTCTCAACAACAGGTTGATCAGAAACAGCTGAGTTTGAAGCAACAGATTCAGAGTTCAAGGAGTCAGTGTTTTTTTCAGTAGTACTCTCCTTGTTCTCCTCTTCTGCTACTTTACCTGCACATGAAACAGAAACATCAGTATTTTCAACCTGAATAACTCCTTCTGACACAAATCCAGCTCGTTTGTCATATCGAAGATGTGCCTCCCTGTCAATTTTGTCATGTGTCATAGGGATGGATGTGTAGTTATGATTATAAGGAGGAGGTACACTATCATACAATAGACCCTTGTTTTGATTTTCTTTGAATTTTAATTGGGTTTCATATAAGGACTCGATTGTCTGACTTGACGCAGTATAATTTTTGAAATTGACATCTATTTTTCCACACTTAATTTTCAAAGTGTCAAGATCTTCAGTTACAGTAGCAAGTTGTCTCTTAATATAGTCATAATTTTCACACTTGTTGCTATACTCTTCCTGAAGTTTCCTAAAGTCCTTGGTTTTTGCTTCTAATTCAGCCTTCAGGGGTTTCTATCCTTTCCTGAGTTGATATCTTTAATATCTCAGGTCCTCAACTTCTCTTTTAAATAAATCAATTTGTTCTCGAAGAAATTTAATCGTGGCTCCACAAGCTGGAGTACATGTAACTTCAGTGACCGAAATGTTTTCAGAGCTCATTGTTTCTCTACACTTCAAAGCATCAAGTTCTTGAATTACATCAGCAAGACTAAGATGATTGAGATCTTTTGTCTTCTTGATGATGGCTACATTCATATCCTAGGATTTCGGAAGTGAATTCAATAGCTTTTTGTTTATCTCAGATTTGGACAAGAAGATCTCAACAATATTCATTTCAGTAATGAGTGTAGTAAATCGCTGCAACTGAGTTTCGAGGGTTTCTCCAGAGATATAATCGAACATGTTGAATTTTTGTCTTAACATCTCTTGATGACTCTCTTTCATGTTTTTAATTCCCTCGTAAACTTCAAAAACTATTAAAAGCACAACTAGAACTTTAAAATCAAACTTAAATTTAAAAATGCCCTTTGATTATAAACCTCAAAAATCAACCTTAAAAGTCAAATTTAAAAAGTTAAACTCAAAAGTCAAAGTTGAAAACTCAAACTTAAAAGTCAATCCGAAAAGCTAAATTTGAAAATTTAAAAGTTAAACGAAAAAGTCAAAGTTTAAAGTCAAAGATCAAACTTTAAAAGTCAAAATCAAAATTTTAAGTAAAAAGTAAAAAAAATAAAAGTCAAAAATTAAAATATAATTTAATTTATTAATTTTAATTTAATTTATTAATTTATTTATTTTTTATTTTGGATGAAAAAGGAATTCAAAATTAAAAGAAATTGAGTTTTTGGGTTAAAGGTGTCAAAATTCGAAAGTTGGAAGCGAGGAGTCTATTTGAATAAAAATCAGAAGAGTTGATTCATCAAGTGGCCTAGTTGAGTTGGTAAGGTGCGGAGTTAATGAACCGAGGGTCCCGAGTTCGAATCCCAGGTCCCCCGAATACGTCTGCTCGTTACTTGTTTTTTAATAGACGCTGCGAAGACTGCTTCCTGCGAGGCTGAGGTGCGAGCCCGTAAACCGAAAACCGCAAGCTCGGACCGGCCGTGAACTCCTCGGACGCAAACCGATGCCGTGAACATTTCGGAAACCGTAGCTGCTGGCCGCCACCCCTCGCTGATTACGACCAGAAAAACCGAATTTTCGACTTTGAAGCTCCAAAACTCGATCAAAAACCTCTTTTTATGAAAAACACGAAGAACAAACCCCCCTTATTTTTGCGAGATCTATCCAAAAACGTAAGAATATTTTGAAAATAAGATCAAATAATGCCCCAAATCTGACAAAATTGACTGATACAACTTGGCTCTGATATCAATTGTAAGTCCCTAATTTGCCTGTGTATCAATTAGATCCGTTTGATGGTGCGGAATCCCTATCAAACGGACGATGCTAGATCACAATAAGAAGAGAAGGAGAAGAAGAATATTAAGAATCTTGATTGTATTGATGATATGAATGAAATTTCTTACAATAGATTCTCTCACACAATATGCTCTCTCTTCCTCTCTCTCTTGGCCATATAATCTCTAAGGTTTATCAATCTCTACTCCTCACCCTAACACCTATATTTATACTTGGAGAATATGGGCTTGGTGGACATGGGCCTTAAATTGGTTTACGGTCGTAAACACACTTCCTGACCGTAAACTCATAAAATATTACAAAAAATTACACTCTCCTAGAAAAGCAAAGTATAAACCATATTTTTAACCCAACAAATTATTTTTCCGATAATTTAGGATTCATATCATCATCTTCTTCTAAAGCGATATTAACCTTTCCTTTCTCCGATGCAGAAGATACATTACCCTTACGAGCAGTTTTCACTTCTCTGAGATCCTTCAACTTATCTTTCATAGTTTTTTTTTTCAAGAACAATTTTTGAAACATCTAACTTAGACATTTTCTCAGTTTCATAAGGATTTCGCAAATTAACTTCTAGAATTTCATCTTTATTCTCTTTTTCATCATCTTCATCATCTCCCACGTGTTGTGTAGTAGCCCAACTACATGTAACATCTAATACTTTATTTAGTTTTGCAAGAACATGCTTCATCTTTTCATCAATAAGTTGTGAAGTGTAATCAGCATATGGAGCATCCTTGTTTTAAGTGATTTTAAGAAAAAGTTGATTAATTTCAAAGTTATAAACCCTTACCAACCTTTACCAAAAGTAATTTTGCGCTCATCTTGCCAAGCTTAATTCTAGCATTCTTTATTTGTTATTTAAAAACTTTCACCTTTTGAGTGGATTCAACAAGCGCATCCATGAATTTATTTAATGTATAAGGTCATTCTACATTCTCAATATGGATTTTTCAATCGATGTATGGTGATCTACATTATCACGTTGAAGGCCAAAGTGAAACTTGAGAGAGCTCCCTCTCAGTTTGAAGAAATAGATGAAATCCTTCAATCATCTTATTAACTTCAGTAACATTCCTATCAAAAGAAGTTTGAAATGCAGTCATAAACTTTGTCATATTGGAAGACATTTCCTTAACATCATAATCAACTTTTTAAACTTTGGCAGTGGATTATGCAATCTTCTTAGCTGACTCTTCAACTAATTTCTTATAAGCTTCAAAAAAATATTAGCACTGGATTCAGTTAAAATTTCTATGGTTTCTTGATGAGATATAATCATATTTTGCCAATTTGTTGTTGAAAAAGAATTGGTATGTAGAAGAATCTGATCCACCTCTTTGTTTGACCCACAAAATTCACCTCGAGTTATCGGAGTAGATAAACCAACATCATCATCATTTTCAATTCTAAAATTGAAATAAAAAATTGAAAAATCTGTGAGTGATTCTAGTTCATCACCAATAATAAAATATTCATTAGAACCTGGAAACAAAGTAGGAATAGAAGTCGATGTAGGTTCCGAAAATCGTCACACCAATGTTGTAATTTGACTCCATATTAGATGTGTTCTCAGGGATGCCTGAAGTTCTATTATACTCCTTATCGAGTTCAAAAATAGAAACTTGTGGTGGAGTATCTGTGGTTAGAGTAGCTTGCGATATAGAAGGATTCATTATGGAGTTAGTGAAGATCAGAATCTGGAATGGTAAAGTGATTTGTGGTTCATAAATGAATTTTAGAAGAGGTGGTGACTGGATTTGTGAAAAATTAATGATAGCTTCATTCGATATATTTTCATAACCATCTGACTCATGTGGAGTTTGATCAGATGAAGCTGGTAGAGTAGAGACTTTCAGAGTTGTAATTGTTGTAATTAGTTCAGAAGTCTTTAAAGGGACCTCAGAAGTATGTGCAATATCATCTTCATTTAAGAATGTTTCTTCACCAATAACATTACTATGAGTTTGATCATTTGAATCTTCATCAATTACAGCTTGTTTATACTTTGGCTTTCTTTGTTGCTTTGGTTTCTTTTAGACACCACCATTTGCTTTCATTTTTATTTTTCCTCCAATTTTTGTATAGCTGCTTGTAAAGAGGCAGGAATTTCACAAACACCAGAATTCAGAATTTCCTTGTAGGATTTGATAATATCATTATCAAGAGGAACGCTATCGAGCATCACCTCCGGAATAGAACAAATAAAATTGAAATTCTTAGGATCAGAAGTTACAAAAGTAGTCGTCTGCATCTTCAAAATCTCAATAACAACAACATCCTTTATCTCTGGTACTTTGTCATTATTTAGGGCATGACAAACAACTACCGACAAAAATTGAGCACATGAAATTTCTGAATCTTTTATATTGGAATTCACACTTTGAGTAAATTGAGTCCAAACAACAGTTCTATAGTCAACATTCTCCCCAAAGAATAATCCATATATCAATGTGTGTAGAAAAACCTGCTAGCATTATTAGAACCAATAAACCTTTCTGATAAACACTTGAAAAAGATAGTGAAGAGTGCATTCCAGATAAAAGGCAAATCAGACTTCTCAAACTTTGATAAAAGAGAAAGATCAGAATTGTACCCCGTTTGATAAAACATAGAAATGAAACAAGAAATTACTACTGAATTTGGATTAACAACATCTGGAGAAGAAGAAAGCCCTAGCAATTTGTAGAAATTTGCCTTTGAAATTAAAGTTTGATGCCTATGAACCTCAAAATTCATCACCTTTTAAGCACTTTTGTGAATAGAAGTTGAATATGCCTTGGATAAATGAGACAAAGGAACCTTCTCAAACATTGTTAAAGTCTTCATCAATGGTGCATAGTTCAGGCATTCAATCATGGTTTGAATAGTAGGTAATACTTTAAAGCTTCCATATCAACCACCTAATTCTGATTGACTTTGATTTTCAACATGGAATTTGATGAAGTTTGGTCCATGTAGGAAATATTTTCAGAAGAATCCATTGTACACGAAGCTTGCATGCAGAAAATCAAAGAGCGATAAAGAGAATTATGTGAAAACTTGTATGAGCATAAAGAGTACAATGTACAAATCTTAAGCTTTATATAGTCTTGGATAACTAAACAGATTTAATTTAAATTTGAACTAGTATCCATAAATAGAGAGAGACAGCGTCGTTCACACATTAATTTCTTGTGACTTCCACATCAGCCAAGAATTCCCATGCCTATTATGTCAAAATTAATGGTCCAACAGAAAACCACCAGATCATCATTCTTTGTAACTACTTTTGATGCCGTTTGAAATTGCTAGAATGGCATCATTTAGCTTCAAAATATGTTCCATTATTTAAATTTCTATTTTATGAAACATTCTTTTTCAATTTGCATAAGTTTCGCAATAACTAATCCATCCTTTAACTTTGCATAAGCCAAAATAGAATCCGTTGGATATATGATTAGGAATGATTTCACAACAAAATGTAGTAACCAAGTTTAAGAAGAGTTTTATCTAGTCACGGGAAGAATGACTTGAATCACTAACTAGACTTTGTGACATCTTGGTTCAGATTGGTTTTACCTAAGACCCCTAGGATTTCAAGTGAAGTGTGTGAAAGTGATAGAATAGATTTTAGAAATATGGTAATAGTCGGCGATCATCGCATAGAGTTTTATAACACCATAAGTTCCAAATTGTTTTTTATCTTAAACAAAGTTCCAAACAGCCCCTGCACTTTTAACTAATTCAGTTAATTCTAAAATTAATTCTAATTAATTATTAATTAAATAATATGATTTCTAATTAATATATTATTTTCATAATACATTAATAAATCAACTAGTTAAATTATTAATCAAATAATAAATCAACCTTTCTCTCCAAAAATCATCTTGTCCAATTGCTAGGTTTAAGGACAACCCAAAAGGACTGTGTTGCTATCAATTCAAGTATATATCAATTATAGTTATAGGCCTAGACACCTAATCCAACAGTCTCCCACTTTGATAATTCTAATAGCTATAACTGCTAGTACAACTTCTAAACTGGTCAGCAAATTGTAGCTTCCAAAAGTTGTTATCGAATTCTGACCCAGTCAGATACATGTCCTAAGATAAGTGATCATATAATCCTCCGTTCTGCAAGATATCCTTCGGATATGATACATATAACATAATATGAAATCATATTATTTAATTAGTATTGATCAAGAATTAATTTGGAATTAATTCTGTGATCAAAAGACACTAATTAAATATATGGGGATTGATTGTGTAAATCATTCATTCTTATATATGTGGGCTTATGATCCATAGTTCTTCATGTTGGGCTAAACCCATGGAGTAATACTCCATGGAGGTTTTAACCCATGGAGCATGAAGAATATGGAAAGGCATGAGTTACATGGGGTAAATCTAATAGCCACAATATATAAGGACCCCATAGCTCAAGAAATCGGTACTAAAGGGTTTAAATGAGAGGGCTAGCCGATTTTGAGCATAGGGACTCTTCTCCCAAGTTATTCCAAGTTGTTGTTGATGTTGTGTGAACCATTTGAGGTGTCAAACTTGGGGCACTCTGCTCTTAAGCTCCATGGAATCAAGCTACAACACAAAAGGTATGTTACTCTAACTAGTATCTTATTATGGTATATGAAAATGCATGCTAGTTATAGGTTTAATGCCTTGTAAACCATTTGCATGTATAATTAGTGAAAACATAAATCCAAGGTATTTAGGGTTGTATGTACACCATATGATGTTGTAGTATACTAAAACTCATCAGTGGTATCAGATCCAATGCTTGTTTTCAAGTTATACTGACTGAAATAGCTTAAAAATTGAAAATTTTGGCTTTCTGGGCACTGGATTCGCCGAGTCCATTAAGAAATTCATCCTACTCATCGAGTAGGTTCATACACTGGACGAGTAGAAGCCCCTGACAACATATTTTCGACTTTTAAGGCTGGAATTAGACTAGAATCATTACCCTAAGCTGTTTTTGAACCTACAAACCCATTTTTGATGTGGTAATGTTCATTCTAATCCAATTATTCATGTTTTGTATTAGTTTAATGGTTAGGCTAATTACATGAAAATTGTTTGATTTGAATTATCTTGTTCTTATGAGTTCTTTATGTGATAATTTGTTTTTGTGACAACCCGAAATTTCTATCTAATACAACCATTCAACTCAATCAAAGTCAGACTCGTTTCTGCTATCTTTTTGCACTATTTAAGGTCTTTTTGAGTGTTCTAAAGCCTATTACATCTAAGGAATGAGTGTTAGGAAGTATCTGCTGAGGTTCAAAACCATCAAACTAGCTATAAACTCCATCATGAGGAGTTTACGACCACAACACATGAGTTTATGGCTGTAAACTCATGCCATAAGTCTCATGTTCCTTCACTTTTCTTTATTGTTCACATTTCCAAGTCAAGAAACACCCATTCTCTCTCAACTATCATAAGGATCTTCATCTTGATCTTCAAAAATGTAAGTGCTCCTTCTGTTTCTTTCATAATAGCCTTCTTGATCAAGAGAAACTCTATGGTTTCATCCATTAAATAATCTCTTTTTGAGTTAGATCTCCAAGAACACCAAGAACACCAAGAACACCAAGAACATCTCCTTATTCTTGGTGGTAGTAAACTCCATAAAGTCATCCAAAGTGTGAGTTTTTCCTCTTTCATCTAGTTACACATAAGAAGCATTTGATTCAAGACCTCTAAACATCATCTAGCTACATAACTCCAAGAGTTAATGGCTGTAAACTCTTTGTTATGGCTGTAAACCCTTGTTTTGGGCATGTTTTGGCCATGAACACTCCTTAAGACCAAGCATAGGACCTTGAACCCTTAATAGATGCTAGTTATGGTCGTAAACACCTCTTAAACTCAAGTACTCCTGGCCGTAAACCCACCCTATGGCTGTAAACTCCTATGTAGTGGCCTTAAACCACCTTTATACAATCATATGTGATTGTAACACTTCATGCCAAGTGTTTCCTAGTCCCTTAGGTTGTTCCATTACATGATTAGGTGTTACATATGCTAATTATATACATATATGTGTTATTATATGCTTAATAGGCTTTGTTTGTTCTTGAGATATTACTTGGCACACTTAACATTCTATATGAGTCTTTCATCCGAATCACTCACTGTAGGTGAGTTCATACCCCTTAACTTACCTTTTAAATGATTTTAAATGCTTTTATAGGGGTTGGGGGGCGAATGCAAGTAGAAATCGTGTTAGTTATATAATCAATCACAAGTGATTTATAACTACAAAGTAAAGAATTTCTTATATTTCAAAAGTATTATCAAACAAACTACTTCAACTCACTTTACAAATTGACACCAAGTCATTAATACTTTCCAAATGTTAAACTCTTTTCATATTTGATAAACCTCATTTTCTAAACTTATAAATTTTGTCAAAAGCATGTCTATGTAGATATAGTTATATAAATATTGTTTAAAGGGCTTAGGACTAACAACTCGCTTTATTTCCTTTTCCTTGTTTGGATGTGGACTTAGGGTATCGGTTGCTTGTCCAAAGGTCGTTTAAATCTTAGTTATATATATTATGTATATGTATGTAGATACAAAAGTACTACAAATCAGTTCGATGCCTTTGGATAGCAAAGGTATACATTCATGATCATTCATTCAAACTACAGAAGTTTCTAGTAAACTATATTAGGTATAGTTTAGAGAATTACTACTTACTATTTCTAGAACATTGAAACCTACATGAATCAGTACTTACAAAAGTTAGTTCATACATGAGTCAGTTCTTACATGAGCCAGTTCAAACAAACAATAACAAGTACAGAAAGGAACATACATCCTTCTCAAGAACAATATAACATTAATGTGAGTCTACTTCATGGCACAACAACAAGTTTGTTGTGTCACGTTTTATAACCAGAGTCCCCTGGAGGGAGAGTGGACATTGTGTATATAGATCTATACGGGACTAACAAGCCCGCATCATGACTGTTCACTACAGTTGGCCGAAAGGCCAGGGGTGACAAATGTCACATTTACTTTCGGCGCCAGCAGGTCGTGTTAACTACTAGTCGATTTAGCATGGTAATAACCACATCACATCCAAACCTTAATTAACAAACTGTTTTTAAGGTAATTAGTGTTTCAGTAGGTAATTTTTACAACATTATTGTACACTTTCATTTTTCTAATTTCATTTATATAATGAAATTCTCACATAAAAGATAATGGCTCTACTTTCTAGAAAAGATAGTCTTAAACATTCGGAAAACACACATTACATACTATTTCAAGTACAAACATACAAAACAACCGGGTCTTGGTAGAAGACTACATTAGATCATTTTAAGAGAAACAAACATACAAAACAGTTAGGTCTTGGTAGAAGACTAATCTCCATATTAGTAGAAATTATAGGATTTTCTAGGAGATTTCAAATGCATACAAACACTTTCACCAACTTTTACATCAAAACATTTACATACACTTTACATCAAACATTTACAATCAATTATCACTAAAATACTTCTGAACTCACCAACTTAAATGTTGATCCTCTCTTTCAAAATAACTTGTATTCTCAGGTTACCAGTAGATAGGTATCAGTGACAGGTTTTGAGAACACGGAGCACTTCCAGACTCATCTTTATTTTGATTATTCACTTTTAGTGTCTTATTATTATTACACAGAACACACTTGTATTGAATTATACTATTAATGCAATGGATGATGTTGTTGCTTGT